CACACCATGCTTGATAGATTTCAGTTCAATAAATGTTGTTATATCTATGACGCAATCTACTACTATTTGAAGGGAATGTCTTCCTCAGTCTGATGGAATCAAATGAGACTAATTTCATTCAATACAGCACGTCAAATTTTGCTGTATGATAGGCGTAGAGCACTGACGTGAGCTCAGACTTTGAGCAAAATCAATTGATAATCCTGAATACTTTATTCTGGGAGATTTGTTGAGTGCTTCTTTTTTGAAATTGTTCGCCTGATTGTTTGATAATGAGACCATCATTCAATAGGGCTTTTTGAGGGCTATTGGTAGTGAGTATAAGCTTGATTAGACATTGGTGTAGAATGAACCCTTGCTGAAAATATTCAGATTCAGACTTAAGATATTCAATGTGTGTCATGATTTGCAAAATTCTTCTAACTGACGAAAGCAATATTCTGTATTGCATTCAAATGAAAGAGAGAAACCACAACTCGCTGATGTCCATGACCAAAATAATACTTTTCGGAGAGAACACATCAGCATAGTTATCGATGGTCTTTATTCTCGGACTTCCTTGAAAAATAAAGGTTTTGGAGAAAATGTGACACTTGAAAGTTGCATGAAAATTCCAATGTTTTCTCTCGTTACGAAAACTCTCGAATTGTCACCTAAGTTTTTTAAGTGAATTAATTCTTTATGGCAGTTATTTGATAAGAAACGTAGCTGAATCTCGATTATAGACATAATGAAAATTCTCCAGCTGATCATCGATTTCTGTATCAAAGGATAGACGACTTCCACCTAAACATCACAAAATTTGGCAGCATTACTCAAAGAGACGTTTGAAGAGATTCATTGACTCGCTAAAACTACTTATTCATCTATCTTTACTTCTGAATGACAATAATTCAAGATAGTATCAAAACAGATTACTCTCATTTCCTTCTCTGTCCAATAACTCGACAAGGCACACTAATTGACTCTATTTTACTGGATAAGTTTCAATCTGATTCAGTAAGGGTCTGCATGTGGATATGTATTGAAGTATGGTTGTAGTTGAAACGAATACATACTTCCATATTTACAGTCACGTAGATTTAGTCAATAGATGTGGTTAAAAAGCGACTTAGCTATTTCAATTATATGATTAATGAATTAATTTCACTTCTGCTCGATTTAAATTCATGTACTGTAGTTTATATAGAAGAGAGCGACCTCTACAACATATCATCTAATTTAATTATTCCACTTTTTGTTCCGAATGAAATTAAATCTGTAAAAGAATATATTTTTATTTGAGACAATAAAAATAATTTAATCAGATAAATAAATTTAATTGTAATAGTTGATTGGTTACAAAATCGAGGTACAAAGTGTCGTTTTTTATCTATCTCCCTCGCTCGCTTGTTGTGTTCCTTAGTGAGGATGTCAGTGTGTCGAATAGTTCGTCCTTATTATAAATTATTTAAACGAGAGAATAGTAATTCATCTAAATCTGATTTTCGTGATCGATCATTATACAAATATTTTGTAAATTTTCAAACACGGTAAGTTAAATTAATTAAAATTTACGAAAAAGACTAAGAAAAATAACAATTAGATGGCGTGACAATGATATTTATGGTCATGTTAACAATGTTGTTTATGGTGAATGGATTGATTCAATTGTTAATAAATATCTAATTGAAAAATGTTCACTTGAACCTTTAAAATCTCCATTGATAGGTTTTGTTGTTTCTTCTTATTGTCAATATTATTCTCCAGTATCATATCCATCAAAGATTTCAGCTGGTTTATTTGTTAAACGCATAGGCAAGTCATCTGTGGATTATTCTGTTGGAATATTTGACAATAGTCAAGCAGAAAAAGCTTCAGCTGTTGGTGGTTTTACACATGTTTTTGTTGATCGAATAAATCGTCGTCCTCAAACGATCCATGATGAAATGAAAAAGCAACTTTTATCTATATCAAATATAATTGATTAAAAACTTGAAGTTTTTAAATTAATTTATTATGCTGCAATTTTAGTACTAATAATAATTGTTTCAAGACATTGACAACTTCTTTTCTAACGGTTTTTCATTTGTTTGAAAACGGATATGCTTGTTGTTCTTGTTTTCAATCATTTTTTGATTAGTTTTTGATCGTTTTAAATACACACCTTGTTTTATTAATTATGATGAGAAAAAGTCAGATCGAATATAATTAAGAAATTAAACAAACTATTACAATCGTCAACTTCAATTAACATATTTAATTTATGGATTAAGAAAAAAAACCGGAACAATGAATTTCCTTTTAAGAAAATGATATAAAATAAATATTTTTTCTTTTCAGATGGCTCCAATAACTGAAATGAAAATAGTCGTTGGAGAAGGATATGCATGGATTTTATTAGAAGCTATTGTAATAACAATTCATATGTGGATAACTGGAATGATGATGGGAGCAATAAGAAAACGAGTTTTTAATAAAGATTTTTATCAAAAGAAATTTCCTCAATATAAACAATTGGGAAAAGTTATGAGACCAGATGGTGGTTATCCTGATGATGGACAAGGAAGATTAGCTGATAAATTAGATGATGAAGATTGGTTTGCTCTTAATAATTATCGACGGGCACATATGAACTATCTTGAAGTATTTAACTTTGTTATTTTAATTTAATTTAAATAAGTATATAAATGTAATTTTAGGGAGGCTTTGCTGTTCTAATTCCTTTATTAATATCTGGTCTTTCTTATACTCGTTGGACCTTTTTTAGTGGCATTGCTTATATAATAGGACGAGAACTTTATTCTCAAGGTTATCGTCGAACAGGTTCCAAAGGTCGTATTATTGGAGTACTCATTCTTGATTTGGCTCTTTTAATGTTATGGTCAATGGCTTTATATACATGTTTTCATTGGGGAAGTGGTTTAGATGGATTAAAAAGACTTATTTTTTAAATTAAAAACATTAATTTCTAGTCGAGATTATTCCTAAACAAATTAGTAAACATTTCCATTATTCATTAGATTGACAAACAAAAAAGACAAAAACTTATCAAATATAATTCATTCCGATTTTTTGTAATTAATGAAACGAGAATTAAAATAGTTTTGAATTCATAAATAAATGCTAAATCTAAAATAGATTGAATGACAACCATAAAAAAAAAAGATTTTAATAAATTATTCAATAAGTGAATCAATCGATTGATTGATGGTAAAGAATGAATTTCTTCAATATCATGTCGTATTGTTACATATGAGATTAGCCATAAATTATTACAATTAAATTGAAATAATGGAAAAGAATGAAAATTATTTTTTAATATAAAAACAAAACAAAATTTCATATGAATCGTCGAATGACTATTCGTAAGGAAACAAGAAGTCAATCACTACTTCATCATTATCCTAAAAATACTATTTGAGAAGAAAACAAACCATTGATGAATAGTTAATATTCGACTAATACGAATCAATTTTCGTCTAATCTCTATTTTTTATGATTATATAAAATCACTGTTTATTATATTATCACCATAAAACATCACAGAAACGATTTTCTTTGTTGAGCCCCTACACTCTGCGGAACATTTTCATTCAATTACCTTATTTTGCAGAACTCAGGACAGAACATCAAAAAGATTATTGTTTCACAATGCGTAGAAATATTTATTTAACAATGATTAAAAAGTCAATGCAAACATTAAATATTTCTTATGTATTTTCAAATCTATAAAAATTAAAAAGTCAGTTTTTTCTTCTTTAAATACTGAATATCTTTTCGAAATTATATTATTTTCACATAAGTTTACTTTTGATTAATGAAATTTTTCCTTTGAAAAAATATCTAGTTTTTTCTATTCCATCCGATGCAATTTGTTTCTTAAGAAAAAATGCAGCTTTTGTTTGATGAAATATGAACTCTCGTCGTTGACCTTGTTTTTTTCTTACTATATTTTTTCATGTAGAACTTTTCATTTTATAGACGTTTAATCAATAAAAAATCACAGTGATAACGAACATTTATTTATTACGATAAGTAATTATTGAGAATAGGTATATCAAGTCCTGCGATATTGCGACAATCACGAATGAACAATAAGTTTTGATTGTCTCAAGCAACTTTATTTTCTCATATTTTTCTATATTGCTAGAGACTGATATTGACATGGCATGAGCTAGATATCTAGATCGATTTGAGCTATATTTTCTGTTTTTTTGAAATGCTCTTGTTACATAGATATAAGTCATATCAAAATCAAAAAAAGAATTTGAATTATTTTTGAAATTATTAAATATACAAACAAAATATGTATTTGTCCGATCACTCGATCAAGAAGAGTTAGTTTCACTGTATCTACATACCAGCGTTGTCTTTGTATTATTTTTCTATGCTTCTGTGAGAACAAAACATGATTCTAACTTTTTTTCTTGATGATAGTAAAGTGTAACAACAACAAAACGTATAAAATGATTCTTATGCTATTGGATTGTTGTAGGAAAAGATAACTAAATCGACAATTTTATCTCTCAGAATGAAATTATTTTGATGTCTGTCGTATTTTATGAGATTCTATTATTTAAATACAATTTACATCCTAATTAATAATTGAAAACAATAAACAATGTTTTGACCTAAAATTGTACTCAAAAGCCCTGACTTCCAGTAAAAAAATTCTTTTCTGCTCTCATCTTTTGCTATAGATTATATCGGCATACGATCATCATGTGCGATTTAATGTCAGATTCATCACGATACAAAAAATTTTATGAAGACACAGAAATTTTAAAGATATGTATAGAATTGTGGCACACAATTAAGTTGAACGCATCACTAAAAGATTATTTGACTTATTTATATATAAGTTTCAAATTTAGGAAATCTATTTTGGTCATAACCAAGTAATACAATGACAACATAAAAATGTAGAAATTATTTAAATCTTTTTTTAACACGATAAGCAATTATATTCATTTAGTAATAATTATAAACAAAATATTTCGAAAACAAACATATATTTATCAAACTTTTTCAAGTACAAATTGGCTTAGTTCATCATCATGTGTTAGTTCAAAGGCACCTTTTACTTTGTTTAATTTCGTGTCGTCATACCATTGGCCTTTAAATTCTTTTTCTGTAGCATTCCAAATAAGTTGAATTATAATTTCATGTTCAAAATCTGTTAATTCAATAAACTTGTCTGATCGATATATTTTTCTGAGACCACTTCGACGAGTTCTATGTGAATAGAAACCTTCAATATCATCTTCTCCAGATCCAGTTACTCTCATCGATTGTGAATTAAATGAGAGAAAAAGTCGATGAGGACCATACCATGGATCATATCGATAATATCGACTATTCCAAAAACCAGTTGAAAAAGTGATATCATGTAAATTTGATTTAAGAACTTTCGGAAATGCAAATTTTACAAATATTCTATTTGATCGTTGTGGCTTGCTTTTGCACATGTTACCGCCATAGAAATAGCACAGAACAATAGAGAAAACAACAACCAAGACAATGATTATACTGCCGATACCAATACCAACATGCTTGCAATAATAAGTGATACATCAATTGCGATTCTTGTAACTGTTACAACTGAAGTAGCTACCTGAAATAAAGCGCAAATGAAGAAAAATATACTATAACTTACAAGAAAACTACTTCAACTGACACCCATCGTTTGAGATCATGTTGACTTCATAGGCGAGTCTCAGTGACAATAATAAAAACTTACAAGGCTTTGTTTTCGTTCGTCTTTAGTGTCGAGTTTTGATCGGTTAACTGGGTTTTGTATTCATTTTTAGGTAATCCTTGAATAACAGAGTATTAATCCAAAGTTTCGCTTATAGACAAGTCTAGACACTGAACATTATATATATAGGTTCTTGAATTGTTCATATCCGAAAATTTAACATTGCTTTTTTATAATGATAGAAAAGTGAACACTCTTCATAAATTATCGTAGCCTTTCTGTATTTGGAAAATTGAATTATAGGAAATAGAATTTTTGTCAATTGAAAAAGGATGAACATATGAATGATAAACTAAAATAAATACAATAACGTAACCCTTTAGTGTTCACATGAATCCCTGTTCTATTTAGTATAACTTTTGTTTCTCATTTATCTGTTTGAATCATAGTTAGATCAAAAATATTCTAATTGATATGATTCTATATGGATCGTACGTATTATTGCTTTGGTATTCTATAACTTGTATTAAAAGATTTATTTATTATTTCATTTTTAATTTCATTGGATTCTGATTAATGTTTATTTTTACTTTAGATTATCCTTGCTATGAAAGTTCGTACAAAAGTAAGCCCGTTTCATAACGTAAAACCAGAAATTTGTTACCCATTAGTGCCAAGTTGGACCCTTTCTTCTGAATTTGTTGTTTAATTTTTCCTTCTTTATCGACCAATGTCAACATTTGAGGCTTAGAGATGAGATCCATCACCAGCCATTCGTTATTAGTCAGAGAAATAAACGGAAAATCCCATAAATTAGCGGTTCCATTGTTGGCTAGAGAAACGCCACGGTGGATTCGTCGCATCTGTGCATCAAACAAATCTATCCGCCAGTGTAAATCCTTTTGTTTAATACTCATTGCTAACATTCCAATGTCATTAAGACGGATGCATCCTACTCCAGAATCACTGACTTCTTCCAGAAACATATTTTCTGGCCATGTTGTCTTTAGCGTGAATGAAGGCCATGAATAACGATAAATGAAGCCCGTAGTGTCTAGTAAAAGCACATCATGAAAACAACTAGTAACAGACCATATTTGAGGATCATCTGTTGGAATAGTAACAGATGTATCGACTATCTTGTTATGAATAATATCATACGTTTGAAGTTTTGTTCCAGCAATCAGAAAGAGTTTCATGGTATCAGACCAACAAATATCGCATACATTGTTGTCGTTTATATCAATAGATAGAAGTTGAGTTTTATTATTAAATAAAAGTAATGTTGAAGGCTTTTCAAACGCCACAATGAACTCATCTGATGCTGCTAATGCTAGCTCCTTTGTTTGCAATAGAAAGCGATGAATCTCTTTCTTCTTCACACATTCAAGGTCTAATGATGGACGATTCTCCAATGTTGCCCTTATTTCATCGCATGGATGCTGACGTATGAAATTGACCTCTTCGCTTAATTTTATTTCATCACAGTTCATATGAATTAAATTAGGTTTTTTAATATCTGCAATTTTTTCTTCAAAAGATTGCAGTTTTGTTACTAAAATGTTCAATTCTATCGAATGAATTTGTTTTTGTTTGGTAAGCATATGAGTAAGTGGTTCAACAATCTCGTGCGTAAATAATTCAATCTTTTTCTGTTTAAATTCTTTTACTTCTTCTGCGAGTTCGTTGTGTAACTTAGTCAGTTGCTGAACCATTTCAGTATGTCGAATATTGATTTCTGCGTGCATTCGATCTTTCCATTCGTCTATTTTCTTCTTGCAGTCTTCATAAAGATAATCAATCGACAGTTCAGTTAACTGTTGTCGCACTTGATTGGCATGATCATTGAGTTCATGAGCATTAGCCTGTATAATTTGTTGATGTTCAAGTGTGTGTGGAATACAAAGCCATAAATTACAATGCGGACAAAGCTATTACAAACAAATAGAAACTTAACTATGATAGGAATGAGGCAAACAGTTGACTTACTGAATATTGTTCTTCTTGACATTCCCATTCATTCTCTTTTGCTACATTTTGACAGTGAGTGAAAGAGGAAGCAATAGCAGTGGCCATATTTCACACGAATATATAACAATTTAATAGAGTTAAATAAAACTTTGCCAAATAATGGTCCAACTTCGAATAGAGATGTGACAAAATGATGTTAAGAAACGTCTTATTCAAACGAATATTTAGAAAAGAACAAATAAAATTTGTTTCTTTTTTAAATATTTGCCTACATTAAGAATAAAAAAAACACTCCTTTAGACGACAAAAAAAGTTGCAAAAAGATTACAAATTTCATTAACGTGTTGTTGTTTTTAGTTACCTATGCACATGTTTTTATTCGAGATGAAAAACATGTGTAAACCTATGGAAAATTTTAACACTAATCAAAATATAAAAATCAATCGTCTAACTCAGAAAAGAAAATGTCCAGAAGATTTAATGGGAAATTTAAGGATCGATCTTGCCCTTCCAGATGCTTTATCACTTGATACATTAGACGAAAATAATGACCATATGCTCTGTTCTGTAGATGAAATCGTCTATTCGTAGAAAATAGAGAAACTTAATGCAAAAGAGTTACCTATATAATTAATAATTGAAACATTTTTGAAACGAAAACTTCAATTAACAATCATAAAGAGTCTTGTTTTCAGAAATTCCTTCCTTTCACGAACAGCTCGACAAAAATTTATGAAATTTCAAAGGCAGCTAGACTTCCATACTTAGAACAGGAGTGATCATAGATACGAAATTTCCAGATGCTTTCTTTAGGAAAGTTTGGAAGTCTCGAAGGTGAAAAATGATCATAAGTTTTACCACATGCAAAACTTTATACTACATTTTTTCGAGCTGCAATTCTTTTATGATATGGAAACACCGTCAAAACACACATTTTTTTTTCCATGTTACTAATTTTTTAAAGACTGCCAAATTTATGAGGAACAACATTTTGAAGAAAATACAAACACGCTTCTCAATTTGACCAAGACAGTCACAAAAAAAATTGTGAGCTCAGTTGGACGTACCATATGCGAGACGATGGGGAAAAACATTATTTGTATTTTTCAAAAATCGATATCGAGAAAAGCACATTTTCGTATGAGTATCAAAACTTTTTTCTTCAACTAAATTCATCGAAAACTGACAGCGTTCAGCGATGTGATGGGACCGTTTTTTATAGAAAAGAATACTTGTAGCACGAAAAACTTTCGATTACCATTTCCGGAACGAGAAGAGCGGTCTCTTTAGTTGAAGAACGTATTGCAGTCAGAAAAAAAAACAGTTTTTAAACACAATAGAGCATGAATCATAGCTTACAAACGGTTTTGATCAAGTAGCATATGACTTCGCTTAACCTTATTTTGAGTGTTTTAGTGTCATATGTTCACGAAAAAGTACTGATGAAATAGAATACGTTTTGATTAGAGATTCACTGTAAGGCAAACATATGTAGGATGTGAAGTTTCAAAACTCGACCTTTTAGAAACAATTGTAAGGAGTTAGAGACGATCAAATGTCTTCGAATAGCTTGTGTGATCATGAAATAAGTAATTGAATAAATTTTAGTCCTATAATTGTTTTATTCATGCCTTTAAAGTATAGGACAAAAAAACAATAACTTAATTTAGGTGAAATATTTGATCCTTGTATTCAAGAGAAGATAGAATTAAAAACTCTTGAAATAATGTCAACTTCTATGGACATTTCATTAAAATGTTTTTTTCTCATTGAAAGTTTGTTAATCGAAATGTCGACGATGACGCTTCTTGTTTTTCAAAGTTCTTTGTTCTTTAATCACTTTATAGAAGAGGTCATATTTCATTATTAAAAACATAATAAAAACATCAAGTTTTAGTCAATATCTAGGGAAAAATACACCTTAAGGATTCATAAAGATTAATATAAAAGACGAAAATCTGCAGTAATCTAAAATAAATATCATTATTATCAATAAACTATAAATATCAACAGTACAAGACAGATTTAAGTGTGGTTATATTTGAAAGAAAAATGTTGGTGTCTTTAATATTTATCCTCCTCATTAATGCTATTTTAAATGCTCAACAAATCGAATTTTGGTTAACAGATCCTGATGCAAAGATTCTTTTTCAACAACAATCATTCATTTCACCTAATAGTGATAATCAAATCAATAATATTATTATTAATATCAATGAAAATGAAACATATCAAACAATGGATGGTTTTGGTTACACACTAACGGGAGGTAGTGCAATGCATTTGCATAATCTTGATAATACAACACGTGCTCAAATTTTACAAGAATTATTTAATACAGATAAGAATAATATAGGTGTCAGTTATCTTCGTCTTAGTATTGGTGCATCTGATTTAGATGAAGTTGTTTTTTCGTATAATGATTTACCACCAGGTGAAGTTGATTTAAATATGACTCATTTTGATTTAGGACATGATCGATTACATGTTATACCTATTTTAAAAGAAATTTTAGCTATTAATCCTAATATAAAACTTTTGGGATCACCGTGGTCACCACCTATATGGATGAAAACAAATAAAAATAGTATTGGGGGAAGTTTATTGAGTGAATATTATGATGCTTATGCACTTTATTTTGTTCGTTATATTCAAGAAATGAAAAAAGAAGGTATTATTATTGATGCTATTACAATTCAAAATGAACCGTTACATCCAGGAAATAATCCATCGTTATTAATGTTAGATCTTATTCAAGCATTGTTTATTAAACAAAGTTTAGGTCCAGCATTTCGAAAA